TCTTGTTTATTTATAATTTATATAAAAGTACTAGTATGTTAAATTATGAAACATACTGAATTCATATTACATTATGAATATTTTGAAACAAAAATAGACATTGAAAAGGAGATAAAGGCGAAAAATAAATTAAAAATATTTTATTTATCAATGATATAAAGTCTTTTAGCTCCCACTAAAATAATTTTTTTATCTTTAAAATTTTATAGTAGTAGCATACTCTCTATGTTCTGAGCAGTTAATTCCTTTTGATGTCCTGTATTTGCTTCTTAGAATTTCTATTATGTCCTACATGGATGCTTAAAAGTTCTGGGTGATTTACCTAAACTTTTTATAATTCACAAAATAAACCACTATTTCTTCAAATTTCTTTTAAAATATACCACAATCATAGCTACAATTATAGTTGTAATAAATTTACAAATTTAAATTCTCCCATCTAAAGAAGGGTCAGATTGATGGTTGCCACTAAAGTATGCATGGTTGCTAGCATATAGTGTAGGAGGAGTGTCTTCTGTTATATAAAGGTTATATTAGAGTTGAGAGACCAATTAAGACACTATTGCTATAATCTAAAGGAGAAAAGATGTTCTTTAAAATTTCACTTTCTAACCACCTACACTTTCACCTCTCCCATCTTACTACCTCTAATCTAGTCTTCTTTTTGACCTCTGGCCCCTTTATCCAATCTTATTACTTAGCCCATTTCACCCATTCTGGCTTCTCCTCATTACCTAGCCTTGACTTCTTTATAATCTCTTGCCCCTATAATGTTGCGCCTTTTCTTATCTGAGATACCTAGTCCCTCAGTAAATTCCAATGCACAGTTTCTTGACTGCTTACCATCAGAGGTAAAGTAATGAGATGGATTTTACTTTTGTTCTTGTGGTTCAGTCATTTTTCACTTATGTCTAACTCTTCATAACCCCATTTGAGATTTTATTGGCAAAGATAACTGTAGTGTTTTGCCATTTCCTTCCCCAGTTCATTTGACAGGTGAGGAAACTGAGGCAAACAGGGTTGAGTGACTTACCCAGGGTCACACAGCTAGGAAGTGTCTGAGGCCAGATTTGAACTCAGAAAGATGAGTCTTCCTGACTCTAGGCCCTGCACTTTATCCACCATGCCACCTAGCTGCCCTGGATTTCACATTATCCACTACTATTTTAAGTTAACTTCAACTGGACCTTCAATACCACTTGATAATCCTTTTATTTGACCCTTAATGACTCTACTTTTCCAACCTTTTATATACTCTAATAAAACAGAGCTATTCCGTCTTCATAATGTCACAAATACATCCTACTTCCATACCTTTGTTCCCTGTGTCTTCTATGCCTTCAATGCCATTCCTCTGTTTACCTACTGAACTCCCACTCATCCTTTAAAACTCAACTCAAAGGCTTCCTTGAAGTTTTTTTCTCATACTTCCCAACTAATAATGACTTGACCTCACATGAGACTTCATTTGCAATTTTTAAAAAGTATTTATCATGTAATGTTGTACATTATACTTATCTATATTTGTGTCAACCCTTTATTGGAATGTCCATGAAAGCCTGTTACTGTGTCTTAATAAACTTGGTATCTCCCCAGTGCTCTGCACATTGTAGGTGCTTAAAATATGTGTGTTGAATGACGAGATCATGGATCCATTGCAGTATCAAAATATGATTTTATATAGTATTTATTTAAAACCACATCATATGCAATAGAGAAACATTATAAACATTCTCACTCAAAACAGATTTGTTCACTTTCAACATTAATATTCACCATAGTTTCAGAAATGCAAGCTATAGCAATAAGGCATGAAAACAAATTAAAGAAATATCTTTGTAATGAATAAGCATCTTTATTTCCAAATAATATGGTTATATATTTAGAAAATCCAAGAGATTGAAATGTACCTGATTTCATCCAGTCTTAAAAGCTACTCAGAATCAGGATTAATTAATTAGTCTCAGAAAGCATTAAGATATGCATGACAGGGCATAAAGATAAACCAACAAAAATCATCTGCATTTTTTATGTATCATTAAGAAAATGAAAGAAGAATTACAGGAAGAAAAATACTGTTTACAATAATTTTAAAAATCAATTATTGGGCATTAACCTACTAAGACCCAAGACCTGTATAAAGAGAATTTCCAAACTGTATGACAGAAATAAAGAAAGAAAAATAATAACTGGAAAAATGGCTTCTGAAATGGTTAGAATGGTGTAATGTAACAAAAGTGTCACTATTTCTTGTATATAATATATAGCTGTAATACAATATCTAGAAAGGTGGTGTGGCATAATGGATAGAGTGCTTCACTTGCAATCGGGAAGAACTGGAATCTGACATGCACCTAGTTCTGTGACCATCGGAAAGTCACTTACCTTCCCTGAATCAGAGATAAGTTGCTAGGACTGCACATTATAGATGGTTGCCTCAGATCTGCAATTGGAGAAGGTATTCCCTCACTAATATACTAACAATAATGCTAATACTAAGTATCAATTAGTCACTTTTTAAAAAGAGATAAAAACAGTAACAAAATTTACATGGAAGCACAAAAAGAAAAAGGGTTATCAATGGGAACCATGAAAAAAAAGGTTAATGAAGCATGTATCACCATATTGCATTTCAAAAACAGTAATAATCAAAACTATCTGGTACTAGATTTAAGAAATAGAAAAATATATCAATGGAACAGAATTATAAAATATAAATAGTTCTGATTACATAAGCTTACTGGATATTCCCCCAACTTTGTCAGTTCCTATTTTATGAAATTGTCATGTTGATGCTTTCTACCTCATCAATAAACCTTGTAGTTCCTTACTCAATTCAGTAAGCATTTATTAAATGCCTGCCATCTTCAACAATCCCTGTGTCAGTAAGAAGCTCAGAGGGCGAGAAAAACAGATTAATTAGGTGTCAGGAACAAAAGTCAGAGAATGGTTTCCTACATTGTTTTAATGAGAACTTAGCAGAGAATAGAGAATACATAGAAATTGGAAAAAAAAATTTAAGGTGCTGAGATTCTAAGATTATGTTCAACTTAGGGTGAATGTAAAGAAAAAAATTTTCTTTCCTTAAAACCAAAACTAAAGTTAAATACAAGGTGAGGTAGCAAAGAGAAGATCTGTCCTTAAAATGAATTTTCTCAATTGGATGCATTAGTTCTAGTACATTTCCATAAAATGTCAGTCTCGTTATTTTAGTTCCACTGCGTATTTAAATGTATCAAATGGCTAATAAGATGGAGGAAAGGGGAAACAGAAAGAATGCTATAGTTGAAATACTCTATTAAAAGGCAACATGCAAGAAAAGCCAATACCTATAGGATTGGTGTCAAAGAAAATTTCTCTTAATTCATTATGTTCTTAGGATTACTCCCATGCATATTGGAACAATACAAGATCTCTTGAAAAATATGAGATAAACTTCAATCAACAACTCTCTCAAGACTTAATGTTAAGGGGCAGCTAGGTGGCGCAGTGGGTAGAGCACCAGCCCTGAAGTCAGGAGGACCTGAGTTCAAATGAGGCCTCAGACCAAACACTTGACACTTACTAGCTGTGTGACCCTGGGCAAGTCACTTAACCCCAACTGCCTTAAAAAAAAAAAAAAGAAGACTAATATTAAGTGAGGCATAAAAAAGGGAGATGTGTACTTGCCAAACTTATTTGCCACCATCACGAAGGATGTTTAGTAAAGAATCCAAATGGAAGATTTACTATAAATGCTATGGTCCTCCAGATGTTCCTGTTTGTGACTGACATTGTGCAGATTGCATTAAACCTGGAGCTGCTGTGGAAGATTTATCAAAGATATGTGGACAAGATTTGCTCAGAATGAGGGAGGATAGATGATCTGTGATCCGCTCCACTGGAGGAAATACTGTTATCAATAAGATTACAGATCCATCATAGAATCAAAATAAAGTCTCATTTTCTGCATGGGCTGACTTGAATTTAAAGACTTTCTTACGTGAAACATTCATATGGTGTCTCTCTAATATAAATTCCAATTAATATTAGTTTGCCTAACTATCCACACCAGAGGGAAAAAAAAGTGGCTTAATAATGCCTATTGTCCTGACTATGATATGCAGTTAGATGGATAGCCTATAAAGTTGGTTTATCAGTACATTTATCTTAGGAAGACTGCACATTAACAAAGAGCTGGGTCCAAGATTGAATGGAGCACAGCAATCTCAAGGCTGGATTGAATTTGGAAAACTGTGTATTCTTTTTAATGACTCCAAGCTTCTTCCTGAAACAAAGGCCCACCTTTTTTAAAAATAACATTCTTTCAGTGATGCTGTATGGCTATGAATCATGAAATATCACAGTCTCCAAAGAATTCAAGCGGTGGGCATGAGTGGGCTGTGTAACACACTTCCCAACCAACAAACACACAGAGAAGTGGCATACAGGATGTCACCACAGTGCCGTATGATCAGAAGTTAGGTGGTTCATGTGGTGAAAGTGAGTGATAACTGATTGAGAGGCTACATGCTTCATCTGTAGGCATGCATGGGATTCACAAGAATCAAAGGAAGACTTCCAACATGTTAGGTGGACTGCCCTGTGGAAGATTTATGGGAAGACAAAAGTTGCTCAGAATGAGCATCCAATGATGAGTATCCACATTAAGGAGATCACAAATCCATTAAAGTGTTTGATGTTTGATGTGAGCTGAAGTACATCTGAAGACTTTCTTACATGTCACTTTCATATGGTTACTCTCCACTATTGATTGTAATGTTGAATAAGTGCTATATTTTGCATTAAAGTTTTCCTACATTCTTGGTGTACATATTACTGCTCACCAACATGATTCCTTTAATGGGTAAAGGATACTTGAAAGACCATAGGTTTGGAACTGGAAATAATCTTAGAGTTTGTTTTGCTCAACTTCCTTATTTTAGAGATGAGGGAATTGATACCCAGAAAGTTTAAATAACTTTGCCCAAGGTCACAGGTGGTAAGTTGAAAGAGCTGGGATTTGAGCCAGGTCCTCTGATTCTAACTTAATCCAAATCCTTTCACTGTACCACACTACCTTAGTGTTCTCTAAGATGAATTCTCTAATGTTGAGTATGGGTTGAATTTATAAGGAATTTTCCACATCAACTAAAATTTCTCTCCATTATGAATTCTCTGGTGTTTAGTAAGGGAAGATATGTGGCTAAAAGCTTTCCCACATTCATTGCACTCATAGGGTTTCTCCCCAGTATGGACTCTCTGATGTTTAGAAAGGGATGACCTATCAATGAAGGCCTTCCCACATGCATTACATTCATAGGGTTTTAATCCAGTATGAATTCTCTTATGTTGAGCAAGGTTTGTGCTCCGGCCAAAGGCTTTCCCACATTCATTACATTCAAAGGGTTTCTCTCCTGTATGAATTCTCTGATGTTGAGTAAGGTACGTGTTACGGCTGAAAGCTTTTCCACATGCATCACATGCATAGGGTTTTTCTCTAGTATGAACTCTGTGATGTTCAGTAAGGGATGACCTATGAGGAAAGGCTTTCCCACATACACTGCATTCATAGGGTTTCTCTCCAGTATGAATTCGCTGATGCTTAGTAACAGATGACCTGTCATTGAAAGCCTTCCCACATACAATACATTCATAAGGTTTCTTTCCAGTATGAATTAGCTGATGTTGATTAAGGTGTGTGCTACGGCTAAAGGCTTTTCCACATTCATTACATTCATAGGGTTTCTCTCCTGTATGGATCCTCTGATGTAGAATAAGTTGTGTATTCCATCTAAATGGTTTCCCACACTTATTACATTTATAGGGTTTCTCTCCTGTATGAATTCTTTGATGTCGAGTAAGGTGTATACTCTGAATGAAGGCCTTCCCACACTCATTACATTCATAGGGTTTTTCCCCAGTATGGATTCTTTGATGTCTACTAAGGGATGACCTACCAGTGAAGGCTTTCCCACATTCATTACATTTGTAGGGTTTCTCTCCTGTATGGATTCTCTGGTGTTTATTTAAACATGACCTCTCATTGAAATTTTTCCCACATTCATTACATTCATAGGTTTTCTCTCCAATGTGAATTCTCCAGTGCCTGCTGAGGGATGACTCCTTATTGAAAGCTTTTGAACATTCATTGCATTTATAGGATTTTTTTCCAGTATGATATTGAATAAAGTCTAAGTGGTACCTGAACGAGTTTCCACATTCATTGTAATTATAAAGTTTCTTTCCTGAGGCAATCCTATTACATTTAATCAGGTTTGAATTCTGTTTGAAACTTTTCCCATGCTTATCAAATTTATGGAGATTCTTTTCTATAGGAATTCTTTGTTGTAAAGCAAATACTGATCCCAGTCTGAATTTTCTCACAAATTTATTACTTTCATGATTGGTCACCTTGTTAGCTTTCATATGAGTTGTTGCCATTTGCTTGGAAGGTCTCTCCTGGTTGCCCTGTTGCTTCTCTAACATGACTTCATATCCCCAAGTTTTTCCCAACTTGAAGTCCTGGCAACCATCCCTTTTACATTTTTCCTGGGATAACTCTTCTGTAGAAATGACCTGCTTTGTAGTTGACTCCTCTATTTCAGGCCTAGTCTCCCGATCTGAAAGAAATAAAAAATGCAAATTTATCCTCTTTTTTGTGCTGGGAAAATAAAACAGCAAGGAAAACTATCTTTGTCCTGGGAAGTCCTGCTCTAAATGCCTCATTTAGCCAGGTGGCTAACAGGTTTTGAAGAAGATGCCTGCCACTAGGATACAAACTGTGGTAGGTTCTACCAAACTGGAAAGAATTCAGTTATGGAGATAGCCTTTAATGTGTCTGTCTCCCTATCAGCAGCATAGCTAACTCTGAAGAGGTTCATCAGCAAGAGGTTGGCCACCAGGTGATGGATCTTCTGAAGTATTACAGTATAATACCTTACATGGGTACAGCAATACACAATTTACAAAGAGCTTTCACATTCATCCACCTTTAATACAAACAATCTAAGAGGTACACAGGGCAGGTAATATCATTTTAATAATAAAACTGAAGCTTAAGAAGAGTAAATGACATGGGGCAGCTAGGTGGCTCAGTGGATAGAGCACCGGCCTTGGAGTCAGGAGGACCTGAGTTCAAATCCGGTCTCAGACCAGACATTTGACACTTACTAACTGTGTGACCCTGGGCAAGTCATTTAATCCCAATTGCCTTGCAAAAAAAACAAAAAACAAAAAACAAAAAAACAAAAAAAAGAAGAGCAAGTGACTTAGCCAATCTCACATGACTAATAGGTGGATGAGCAAGTACTAGAACCAGGGCTTCTGACTCTTAGTCCAGCACTGTTTCCACTAGAATATTGCCTCTCAAAAGTCATTAAGATGAAACTAAAGACACAGATAATAAAGTACAAAGTCAATTTAAATAAAGTACATATACAAACCCACACAAATAAGTTAAAACACAAAAAGAACTTGGAGAGGTAACTAAGAACCACTATACGTAATTTTTGAGAAATCACACAGAATGAGAGACGTGAAGAAAACTTGAGATGGGAAGATGTTCTGCTTTTTTTTTTTTTTTTTAGTGAGGCAATTGGTGTCACACAGCTAGTGAGTTTTTATGTGTCTGAGGATGGATTTGAACTCAGGTCCTCCTGACTCCAGAGCAATGTTCTGCTTTTCTAAATGCAGTCAAGGAAGATTCTTTAAGTTGTAGCCTGGGAATTTCTCACAGAACAATTCTAGAACAGGTTATTAAATAGATGATTTGTAAATGCTTAGAAAATAAAGTGAATTCATGGAGCCAATAAAGAGTCATGCAGAATAATTCTATTCAGAATAATCTCACTTGCTTTATTAATAAAACTCTTAGATATGAAAAATGCTAGATTCTGAAAATCTAACATTCTGCTTTTTAGTATTCACACCACTATCACTTCTCAACAACCTATTCTACCCACAGATTCCTCTCTTATAATAACGAAACAACTAAACAAACAAACAAACAAAAAAAACACAGCAAATTTAACTGACAGAATATTCAATACTCTGTACTCATAGTCCAACACATCCTGTCCAACAGGAAGGCAATATATTGTATCATCAGTCTTCTAGAACCTATACTGGTCATTATGTTCAACCTTAATTATGTCTTCAATTCTTATTTTCATTTATATTCTTACTGGCATGTATGTTCAATTGGCTCTGCTTAATTTGCTCTGTATAAGTTTGTATGTCTTCCCAATTTTCTCTTATTTCTTCATGTGTATATTTATAATTTCTTCAGTCATTCTTCAATTGATGGGCACCCAGTTTGTTTTCAGTTTTTTGCTACTACAAAAAGCACTTATATGAATATTTGGGTACATATAGAATCTTTCTTTCTACTGCTGACCTCATTGGGACATAAGCTACATCAAAGGATATAAACAGTTTATTAACTTTAACCATGTAATTCCAAATTGTCTTCCAGAACAGTAAGATCAAACTTACAACTTTACCAACAGTGTTTGTAGTATGTCTGAGTTCCCACAATCCTTTAGATATTGACTATTTTTTATCAGATTTTCCAATTTGATAGGTATGAACTAAAACCTCAAAGTTGTATTAATTTGCATTTTTATTTTAAATTTTAAAAAATTGAACTTAACAGACACCAAAAAATGAAAATTTCCATATTTATAATTTGGATTTTTATATAAAGTAGAACACCAAGGGAATTATATGCTAAACTCTAAATTTCTAGTCCATATTACTTGTTTTTTAAAAATATATACATAAATAAATTTAACCTGTTAACTTTCAAAACTGTTCTGTTTATCTGTACTTTCTTCTGAATTTCTTCTGCACTCCTCCACATTTTTAAAATGTTTCAAAGGCCCTCCTTTTTCCTTTTTTTTTTTTTTTTAGGAAACATCACTATTGATATTCCCTCTCTCTCCCTCTAACCTTCTTGCCATTAAAAACAGAAGAAAAAAAACCTTCTTGTTAAAAAATAAGCATTATCAAGCAAAACAAATCCACACAGTGGCCATATGCAAAAACAAAAACAAAAACAAAAACAAAAAACAACTATGTCTTTTCCTATACTTTGAGTCCATCACCTCTCTGCCAGGAGGGGCTGCTTATGCTCCACACTCCTCTGGACCTGTTGTTGCTTTGAACAGAGTTTTTAAGTCCTTAAGTTGTTTTATTTATACAGTTGCTGTCATCGTTTCAATTGTTCTACTGGTTCTGCTCACTTCATTATGTATCAGTTTATATTCCCTAGGACTCCTTGGAATTGTCTCATAATTTCTTACAATGCAACAATACCCCATTATGTTCATAAACCACAATTTCTTCAACCATTTCCCAATTAACGGGCACCCCCTTAGTTTCCAGTTCTTTGCTGTTTTGTTTTGTTTTGTTTTGTTTTTTTGTTGTAATCTCTACTTCAGGATTAGGAAGTTCACTTTGCTTGAGATGTTTCCTACCAGTATTATTCTCCCTCTTAACCCTTACTTTTTCCTATCCCCTCCTGTATCCTCATCACATTTGATATACTGTTCCACCAGACTCTTTTTTTTTTTTTAAGTTGGGCAATGGGGGTTAAGTGACTTGCCCAGGGTCACACAGCTAGTTAAGTGTTATGTATCTGAGGCAGGATTTGAACTCAGGTCCTCCTGAATCCAGGGCTGGTGCTCTATCCACTGCACCACTTAGCTGCCCCCGCACCAGACTCTTTTCTCTTTTTGTAAGCACAGGCACCTGCACGTGGGTGGGTGGGTGGGGCAGTAGCAGAGTTCATCACTCCTTCCTCCTTTGTCTAGTTCAGAAAATAGTGAGGTTCATCTGATGCCTATTCCCCCCTAGCCTTCCTCCATGTTTGTATACTATTCTCACACACCTCAATTATAAGAAATAGTTTCACTCCCTTCTCTTCTATACTGGTGTATCCCACTTACGATACTTTCTCTTTCCCCTTCAAAAACTTTCAGAACAAAACAAATCCAGCTTCAGGTCTTCTGTTTTTCTTATTTAACTCCCTCAATACTCTTTGAAGACATTAAGGTTCTAAGGGGACATTTGCTTTTTCTCTTCCCATTAGAATGTTAGCCTTTCATCATCATATGCTATTTCCAATTGTTCAAATAAATTTACATTTTTATTTATTCATATTTTCATTTCAAAGTTCCTACTTATCTCTGATATTTTTATCAGAAGAAAGTGCTTGAAAGTCCTTTATTCAATTAATGGTCTATTTTTCCCTGTATTATTATACTCAGCTTTATAGGGTAAGTTATTCTTGGTTATAAGCCAAATCTTTTGCCTTTTGGAATGTGGTATTCTAAGATTTCCTTTTATTTAGAGTAAAAGCAGCCAGGTCTTAGGTGATCCTGAATGTGGTTCCTTGGTACTTAAACTCTTTCTTTATGGCTACTTGAATATTTTTTATTTGATGTGGGAATGCTGGATTTTGGCTATAACATCATAGGATCTTCTGTGGGACCTCCGGTATATCAAGGGTGGGGTGGTAGGAATGGTTTGCCCCAGGTACAAGCAATAAGAGGGTGCATCATGTGTAGAGAATGTAAAAACAATAATAAAATCAACAAAAAGTTGGTGTGTTTTTTATGAGCTCTATGAACTGGCAATTTTAAGCAATTTCAGTGTTAAAATACTCCTCCCTGAAAAAATCTTTTGTTCATCTAAATTGTAAACAATTACTATGGTCACTTGAGTTTTAAAAAAATATATACAAGCTTCACATTAGCATATTTTTGTTTTTTATCCTTTAATAAACACTGTATTATGTATAGATGTTAATTCAGAAAACTTCAGTTCTGTAGTTGGCCCTTGACACACAGAGACTCAGATACAAGTATTCATTTCAAGAGTAAATTCATAAATGATTAAAAGCTTAGATTTCTAAAAGGAATTTTTTTTTTTTTACTTTAGGAAGAAAACTACTATGGATTAAAGTAAAGGGTCTATGAGTAGATCACGTCCATTTCTAAGTGCAGTTTCTGGTCTTATGTAGTTTTTTTCTATTTCAATATAATATTGACATTCTGTGACTTATTTTAAATATTTATATTTTATCAGAAAGGCACCATTTTCCCTCTTATATGATTAAAAACATTTGCTGGATTCTCTTTAAAAGCTCATTAATGGTTCAGAATTGTTTGAGCTCAGTTTTAGGGCAATTTGTGTCTCCAGCTCCTGTGGCACTATATATTCCTACATTAAAATAGTGTTTTTAAAATAAGCAAT